GTATATATATATATTATATATAGTATTATATATATTAATAATTATATATATATATATATAAATCGATAGTGATATACGTTACCGTATTAATCCGAGCGGTCTCAGCTCTGCAGGTCACAATGAATACTCTTGCGGTTACCGTTCTCGTGAGCTGCCTTGCCACGTTCTCTTGTGACTACAGCGGCAGAGGAGGCGTAGGTGGAAACGCTCGCTTCTTCGGAGGTGGAAGGGATACCCGGTAAGGTGCAGTATCAGGCCGTGAAGCTGGAAGCGGCGAAGGTTCACTCAGGACCTGCCTCCGCCGTTCCCAAGCAACCCGCACCAGCACCCAGACGCCACGCCTACTAAGCAACGAACCGATGGCAGCGACAGCGATGACGACAACGATGACGATTAGCAAAGAAACGAGTAAAACGAAGGACATTATTCGGTGAAATTATATCTTTATCTCATAAAGTTCAATGATGCGATAAACTCTAAGATGATTGGAAAATTAAAATTGTATTATTATCTATGTGTCCAAAACGAAACTGAAAACGAAAGACGAAAGATATAATTTAGGCAAATGTTCATAATGAAAAAAGAATGCATGAAAGACGTTCTAAACACTGATGTGTCCTTCTGGTGATAAGCAACTGTGTCATTTTCAAAGGCCATTGTGTTTTAGATTTTATATGTGTAACCTAAATAAATGCAACTTGAAATCAACAAAATTTTTTGAGTATATTTCCTTGTCTCGTTCACTATTTTTTATGACAATTTGCAACCGATTTGCTAGATATTCAAATTGATACGTGCTATGCTCAAGGGCATATAAATAATGTCATCTGTTGTTTATCGACTGAACTATCAACGGGGTTTCAAGATTACTTAAAAATAATAATATTTTTCACAGATGACTCACAAGTCTTACGAAAAATAATTCGTAAATATAATATATAATAAATATAAAGACGACAGCAACATCGCGCTTGGTCGGCTACAGTCTTCAGTAATTATATAGAGAACAGATAAATTCGCCATCTTATCTCAATAGTATTTATATTAGCTCCGTATAATATATATCCTATAAATGCCATACGCGAAATTATTTCATCGTCCAGATAACGTCGACCGCCGCCATTACGTTAGTAGATAACATTAAAATAGAGAGAACAGCAGGAATGATTTCTGTGAAGCTGTTAATTCTGATTGCGCTGGAGGAAAAGAAAGATTTTGTCCGCATGGGGGCACCGCGGTAAAGCCAAGCTACGGGTAAATCAGTACGGTGCGTCGGTTTATCGATGCATTATCGATTAGTGTGGCGTAGACATTACGCGAGCACAGAGTGTTGCTGCCTTGTAGAAGCGAGATAAATATATAACAGACGATTAGTGAATGCAAACAAGTCTAAAGTAAATGTAATAAATGATAGAAGAAAATTTTCTCTTTCCCTTATCGTTTAACGCACACGTGGTTTATTTTTTTTAATCATAAACAGAACTCACTCCCCATTTCTCAGTTTTACCGTGAAATATTGCCCATGGCCCTACTTCTCCAGTGTTCAACTATAATGTGTCCAGCCTTTCCAAGTTTCTCCGTACTATATGATAGGATTATATCTGCGTTTTCGCAAGCCAAGCCCAGTGCACAAGAATAATAATATTAAACATACATTTAAAATAGAGAACACTCATTTAGGAGTAGGGTGATAGTAACATTCTATTTCTTAATGCCCCACTTTATTAATTACAAAGAGTCAAATCATCCCAAATTTCCTTACTCTATAGCATAAGGGTAGATAGATCTGTTTGCGTATTGAATTTGGCCCTCCTCCATAATCAATGATGCAGTTGCAGAAACAAGAACTCGATTTTATTTTATTTCATTTTATTTTAGCGAGCCATTCATTCCTATTTAGCAGGACGTTACTATAAATGATATAAATATCTTAAAATCGCAAGAAGCCACCGTAAAAAATCGAAACAAGCAAACGAGAGCTACTGCTCTACGAGTTTTGTTGGATCGCCTACAAATGTTTACACTGGAATAGCTTATATATACAGTGAATCATGCAAGTCGAATTATACTAGACTATGGCTAGATAGTACTAGAATTATTACTAGATTCAGTGTGTAATTTACGTTGTCTGTCAATGACGTACTACAAATAAATTCTGTCATGTATTACCAATGCGACGATTATTCCTGTGAAACGCTCTCCTTGCGTTAAAGACATCGCTAGCGTCCACTGACAATTTCTCCAAAAAACAATATTTCGAAGAGTCGGGGTCGCCAGTAGCAAGCTAATTAACGTGACGTCATCGTCGTGTTTACCAGCGCACGCTTAGCTAAATTATGTAAGCCGATGATTAGAGAGCGGAGAAGTTGTGATGCGGCCGTCATTGTTCATAATATAGGTGGTCAGGCTGTCACTGCCAAACCCGTGTAGATTAGATAAGAGAGTTTACATCACACTCCTTTCATTCCTCCTATCCGTACTTTAAATATTTACCTTCTCTTTCTCTCAACCCTTATTCTCTCTTCCCCACCTCCGACACACTCTCTCTCTACGCTGCACTCTCTTACATCTTTCTTTGGTCACTCTCTGTCTCCTGCTGCTTTCTGTCTCACTCCTTTTCGCTGCTCCTTTTCGCTCGGCGCCCTTCTGCTTTCTGTTGTCTTCGCCCCTTGTCTCGCTTTCTCCTCTTTCTCTCTCTTTCACTCTCTCCCTTTCTCTCGCTTCTCTCTTTCTCTCTCTTTCACTCTCTCCCCTGCTACCTCCTGCCCCGCGCTTTCTCTACCTACATAAATACACATACACACACATAGTTAACGAACGAGACCCCACAAGTCCCCAAGTCGGCCTGGCTTAATGAAACAAAAGACTAGCTAATGGTGTCGCGAATATAGCAGACCTAGTTTCACGTGAAGGTGCAGCCGGCAGTGTTTAGCACTGCTATGATTACACCCCACTTTCGATTTTACCCTCCCCTCGTCTATTGTCATGATGACTAAATAGACGCACGAACACAGGAATATAATGAGAATTACAGACGACGACAACTCTTAACTTCTCGGTCATCGGGTCGACTGATGACGTGATCGCCTATATAAGTATTGACAGCGCGTCAACGTTCGACTACAAGTTTGCTTCACACTTTGAGGAGAAGGCAAACAGCGAGAGACACTTCGATCAGGTAGGGCACAGGCACGTAAAACCTAATCGAGTAGAATAGCGTTAGATATCCTGTAAAATGGCAGAGACAGAGATGCAATGGCTCACTCAGCGAGTAACGTGACCTGCACAGACGTTTGTAAATCTATTATCAAGATGAACTGAATTGAATTAGATGTGTTAATTGATTTTGTTTAAATTTTCATATCTAGAGCTAGCCGTAATGATCGTGCCGAGGGATTTGCTCTATAGTATTGGTGCGGCATGACACACATATAGTATATATATATATATATATATATATATATATTAATTATATATATATATATATAATATCGATAGTGATATTAGTTACCGTATTAATCCCGAGGGGTCTCACTCTTGCAGGTCACAATGAATACTCTTGCGGTTACCGTTCTCGTGAGCTGCCTTGCCACCGTTCTCTGTGACTACAGCGGCAGAGGAGGCGTAGGTGGAAACGCTCGCTTCTTCGGAGGTGGAGGAGGATTCGGAGGTAACGTTGGCGGAGGATTCGGAGGCAACAATGGCGGAGGATTCGGAGGCAACAATGGCGGAGTAATCGGAGGTAACGTTGGAGGAGGATTCAGAAGCAACGTTGGCGGAGGATTCGGAGGCAACAATGGCGGAGTAATCGGAGGTAACGTTGGAGGAGGATTCAGAAGCAACGTTGGCGGAGGATTCGGAGGTAACGTTGGCGGAGGATTCGGAGGCAACAATGGCGGAGGATTTGGAGGTAACGTTGGCGGAGGATTTGGAGGCAACAATGGCGGAGGATTCGGAGGTAACGTTGGCGGCTTTGGAGGTAGCGTTGGAGGCGGATTTGGAGGCCACGGCGGCAGTTTCGGCCGCAGCGTTTCTGGCGGATCCGGAGGAGGCAACTTTGGCAACTTTGATGGAAACAGTCACGGCTTCGGAGGCAACATTGGCGGAGGATTCGGAGGCAACGTTGGCGGCTTTGGAGGTAGCGTTGGAGGCGGATTTGGAGGCCACGGCGGCAGTTTCGGCCGCAGCGTTTCTGGCGGATCCGGAGGAGGCAACTTTGGCAACTTTGATGGAAACAGTCACGGCTTCGGAGGCAACATTGGCGGAGGATTCGGACGTCAGGCCCTCAGCGGACTCGGATCCGGCTTCAGCCACGGCGCTAGCAACATTGGAGGGTTCGGCAGGAACGTGGGCGGCGTGACGGGCGGCGTGACGGGCGGCGTGACGGGCGGCGTGACGGGCGGCGTGACGGGCGGCGTGACGGGCGGCGTGACGGGCGGCACCGTCAGTAACGTATTCGGCGGCAGCAACGGCGGCAGCGTGGCGACGGCACCAGCAGCCGCTCCCGTGTTCCGCGCACCCGTCGCTCGCCAGGCCGTCAACGTCGGCACGTTCGGTAACATAGTCGACGCTGGAGCCTACGACCTGCAGGCATTCGCACCTGGTTTCATCAATGCCGAGGGTTTCAGCTTCAGCGGAGCTCTGCAGGACGCATCCGGCCGCGCCCCGTCCGGATCCAGAGGCGGGAACCAGGAGCAGGTTGTCATCGGCAGCCGATACCGATCCGGATCCGCCAGGCAGACGGAGAGCGCGTCGGGCGCGCAGAGCGGAAGCGGAAGTGGCAAGTCGGGCATCGAGCTGAGCGCTACCCGCTCCGCTAGCCAGGATGCGAAACAGGAGTACACGCAGCAGGTGAGCGGAGAGGGCAGCACCGAGCAGGGAGCTGCGTACGGCTTCGAGGGACCCGGTAAGGTGCAGTATCAGGCCGTGAAGCTGGAAGCGGCGAAGGTTCACTCAGGACCTGCCTCCGCCGTTCCCAAGCAACACACCTACTGAGCAACAACAGCGTGACGGCAGCGACAGCGATGACGATTATTATAAATATATTCGATGTTACGCGCTGTATTGTAATTGAATGAATACAAAGGTTAGGAAGATTACGAAGTATGTGGAAACCTGATATCGCAATATGATTGAATTTTTCTGCTAAGCTCTTCGTGTGGTAAGAAACTGTGTAATTTTTGAGGCCATCTTGTTTGTTTCTATTATAGGTCGTAATTATTATAGTGTTCGTGTTATATACAAATAAATGCAACTGAATAATTATGCCGGACTGTACTGCTCGTCTATTTTCATCGCTACACACACAAATTAACATATTTAACGCATCCCTATTTTCACAGAAACTCTAACGCATTCCAATTAGTTGATCGGGATCTTTTTTTTACAATTTATAACGCTGGAGAATTACTCACGCTTCTTCCGTCCATGTGACGTATTCTGTGACATGTTAATTCTTCCTCTAATGCACTGCACTGATGTAAATTGCCTCGCATTAGTGCTAACCGCGGCGAGTACAAATCTACGCTAGTGACAGATAGATGGCGGTGCTATCCCAAATGAGCTAATTTCTGGCTAGAGCGCACATAGCCATCTAAATGCACTGGTCGGTATACGCTGATATAAGACATCGTAAGTTATGTATGACACTAGCGTGCTAAATATACGTATTAGCTACGCTATTATGTTATTCAGACAATAGATTTATTTGGACATTTCATTAGTCTTGCCTGATTAATATTTTTAGTGCACTGGCGTCGTAAAATGAACCGCAAAATATGGCGTGAATAGATCGCAAACATAGCAAGGCTAATTTAGAAATCTAAAATTTTCCGGTTTATTACTATTCTTGCCAGCGCGCTTCAAATTTACTGCGCGTAGACCCGCCGGCGGGGAAAAAAGAATGCTAATATGTACACACACCGCGCGCGCGAATATGAAACGCATTTTCGCCATGGCAACGCGCAGTCTCGCAAGCCCTGTTACACCCGATCAAAGCCTATTCATGTTTCAATCATGTGTTACACGAGAATCCGTGTAACTCAATGAGGTTTCGCCTCACTTCGTTTAGCTGTCTATGCCGTAATGTCCGGCGAGTAATGAATACACAGATGAAACCGTAATGGCGCAAGTTTCTACATATTTGCATGCGAACACGAAGGCGAGGAATCGGTAAAACCCGAGACGGGATCGTCACGAGCAAACCGCGGCCAGCAAGGCGAAGTTGAAACGCGGGCGCGTTGGATGTGAATCGGGTTTTAACGCAGCCGCACGGCGACGTTTCGACCGTGCGAAGAAGTGCGTTAAATCTTTGGAGATCGCATTTTTCATGGCGTTTATGTTTCGTTGTTCGATTCGAATCCGAATTTCATGAGGATTTTCAGTAAAAAAATGCGCCGCCGTTGTTTCGAAACTCACGCCCGTGTGTGTAATTCTATTTAGGAATGCACTCCCGTTTCACGTCCTGGTGACGACGCTCTCGCATCGCGATCACACACACTCTCCCTCTCGCGCAATAGCCGTACATTTACCATCAATTACTCGGGACACGATCCCATTCCCTCGCACTCGTGCACCGGGCCCCGTTGCGTCTTTTATCGGTATCGTAGTAGGTCAAGCATCTACCCATCATTCCTGCACACGTCCCTAGTAATGCGATCCCGTCCGGTGACTTGCTTCTAATAAATTACAGTTGGATTGGATTTATTGTGAATTTTCTGCTGCGCTGGGGTGAAATAATTGCGTTTCGTACGCGGGAGTCGGTCTAATGAGATACGATCAAAATCGAATGTTCCGAACGCCGGATGATAATAATGTGATATACAAGCTTCGTAATTTCGTATGGGAGCTCGAATCTAATCAATGACGCCGAAGCTGCAGGTTGCTATCAGTTTTGCTAGCGACGCAAAAACAAGTGCGGAAAACGCCGCCGCTGCAGCCATTGTGGCGCTGCGGTCGCTCGCAGACGCGCGCGGACAGCAAACCCTCTTTGCGAAAATGCCGCGCAGTGATACATAATGAGTGATTACTGCGGAAACGCTGCGCGCAATGTAATTAGAAACACGTCGATTAATCTGTCACGTTCCCCCGGACGTGTCGAATCCTCGCCGAACCTCGTTCTATTAAAACCCCGTCAATCTTACCCGTCACTTAAACTGTCTACGTCACGAATTTCTAGCACCAGCAAGTAGTATATTTGTGTGTTATTTGTACAAAATAAAATGTATGAAAATACAATTAGTGTTTCTGTGTACTTTTCATGCTTATATACCTTCTTTATACTCCCTAATTTGCCGGTGCATTCGATGTAACCAAACGCTCGACACAAACACAACCGCCTTTAATTCGAAACTCTTGCGTGGCGCCCAGACGCAGCTAGCCGATATAGCGAACATCTGCGGTAAACGAGGCATTTGCAAAATTATTGTGGCAGCCATGGAAATTCCTTGTAAACTTAAGCGGGAGTTTCTCATATAATCTTCTTTCTGCTTTTTTTCTCCTTCGTTTTCTTTCCGATGCACTGAATTGAACTGGCCTGCCCACCATTGTTTATCGTTTAGTTGATCTAGCGTGAAGGGGGAATGTCGCAAACATTTTTGTTGGCAGAAATTAAAAAAACACAAATAGCATTTCGCAGTTTTATTTATAATTTTTTCAAACATAATACACATGAACATATATTATTTATTTTTCCTATATTTTATATAGCTAACTCAAATCAAAACAGAAACTGTTTGGGCACCACTTTGTGCACCATACACAAATCACGATGACATCGACCACAGCAACCAGTGCAGCAACCGAGAGACTCCAGTATCTGTACAGTACTGGGTAAATAGTGTTAATAACACTAATTCAAATCGTCAAGATTTTTGCAAATTTAACCAACGTAAAAACATTTTTATCAGGTGAGAGTTTGAGGATATATTTAGTAACGTTAGTACTAACTTTTGATGTAAATAAAATTACAAAATAAGGTTTCAACTATAAATTTTAGGAGATTCGGGACGAAAACACTTTAAATAATACCGAATTCTTTCTGTGCGCTAGCAAGGATCAAAGATAAAGGGAACACAACCGTCTGGAAATAAAGTAAGCATATGAGAAGAAAAAAGGACTAACGCGATTAGTAAATAAAATTAAAATTAAATTTCGATACACCGAACACAATCCGCGGCATCAAAGTATGATGCATGGGTTAGAGTTGATGCATCAAATCCTTCGTATACGATTGATAAATGACACTAGGGACCTAGTTGCTCTGCCCTCATATTAGGTCCAATATGATACGGGTCTATTGCATCAGTTCTCGTATAATCGTAAGAACGTTGGTCTATATATAATATACGCACGTATAATATACGCACACACACACACGCGCACGCACACACGCACACACGCACACACACGCACGCACGCACGCACACACACACGCGCACACACACAAACACATACACACACACGCACACACACACGCACACGCACACGTTACAACGCACACCCACCACACAGACACACATACACACACACGCACACCATAGACACACACACACACAACACAACACATTCACACAAGCCACACGCATACACATAACCATACAGCACATAACCAATCACACACTACACACAGCACGATCCACACACACACACACACACAGCACACAACACACACACACACACACACACACAGCAACACACACACTCACACACAGAACACAGACACACAGCACAGCACACACCAACCCGGCACGCCACGCAACGCAGCGCACGCACGCACGCACGTACAACACACAATACACACAGACCACACATATCATATATAATAGTAATATATATATATATAATATTATCGCTGCACAGCGGCAATGCGCTGGCGAATGCACATCAGTGCTTGGTGGCAATCCGTCCCTCTGTCGCTCCTGCCTCGACTGCGACGGGGGAACATTTGCTTCGCAAGCGATGGTTCTAACCTGATACAACAAGCTAATTCGCCAGACGCTCAAGACAATATGTAAGTGCGCATTAGGTGACGACGTGCATCCTTGCTGCGGTAAGACACCAGCGCTGTGTGTGCGTGCCCGTCCTCATGCCCCCAGCTTGGCATGAACGCATACATGCTCGCACACGCGTGCGTATACACCATTGCACGCACAGCGCGCGCAGGACATACACTGCACGTCACCACGCATGCAATCGCGCAAATGCGCGGCCCGTACGCGCCAGCAGTACACTTACTCACACGCAATGCACGGCAGCCACGTACGCGCAGGAGGATACACTCACTCACACGCATGCACGCACGTACGCGCAGGAGTATACACTCACTCACACGCATGCACGCAAGTACGCGCAGGAGTATACACTCACTCACTCGCATGCACGCACGTACGCGCAAGAGTATACACTCACTCACACGCATGCGCGCACGCGCGGGCACGTATGCGCTGAAGTAAACTCACTCACACACGCGCGCGCACCCACTCACACACATACGTGCACGCGCAGAAATACGCAGGCTACGTTTATACACACGCACAAACGAACACACGTTCACACGCACATATATACACGGGCGACACTCGTGCGCGCGCTGGTATACGCACGCACACACGCATGCACGCAGTCTGGAAAATTGTGACAATAATTTACCTCTGGAAGTACACGTAATTATCCTGATTATTGACACGTTATACGCAGGAATAATATATATGACAGTTTTAGCGCATATAACATGTAGGTAAATTCCCCAAAGCGAGCCCGTAAAAATTATTTATTAGAAAATTATGCCAACCTCATTAATTTTACCAATTCAGAAAAAAGGAATAAATTTATTATGAATTTATAGAGATGAAAAAAGGTGTTGGTAAATGCCACTGTATGCATTGATGAATACACATAATATTCTTGTTCTTGGACGTAGACACACGAAAATAAGAAAATGCGTAAATTTACTATATTAATTGAAGTATGAATATAAATATAAATATAAATACAAA